CATTGTAATATATCCCCCCACTTCCAGGTGCCATTGTAATCAGATAATAAATGTGATTCACTTCACCTCTCAGTGGTCACAATGATATGCCTGATCAGTGTATATATATCAGTATATCTTCTCCCCTGGGCTCCGGAGGTCTAAGGTCATGACGTCTTATGGAGGTCCATCAACTAGGCATTTGACATAAGGATGCCGAGGGACATACCAAAGCCGGAGCAGAACGCTGATTACCGGAGGACTTGCCATGCCGGGGTAGCCGCACCGCAAGGGTTAATCTTTGCAGTTCTGCTATAAATGTGACGACGCGCATTAATGTATAATAATGAGGAAGTCAAAAATAACAAATGTAGCACAACGCAAGGAGACGACTTCCGCCAGGAACCGAGCTCAATTCTAAGGAACAATCTGCACGTTGGTGTGACGAAGCCGCAGAGAACAAGTCATCGAACTCTAATCTCGTGAAAAACGCGTTTTTTATGTGGCGGAGGAGGGCGCCTATCCATCACAGACCCATCAAAATGGATACCTGGATAGAAGTTCTTTCGAACTTCGATTATTCGTACAAAATTCTAACCGCAGCTTTGGGGTAAATCTCCCCAACCGGGACACAGACACACACACACAAAAAAAGCCAGACCATCCAAAGACGTTGGAGTTGGGCTTTAACCGCGAGATAAACACGGCAAACATGGCGGTACGGTGACGCCGTATTTTTTTATTAATTGGGTTATATTACATCTCTCCGTGGTGCGGGTATCTCCCTTCCCCCACCTCTCGTCCGACCTAAGGCAGGCGGGGACGCCGTCATGTTCTATATATACAGCTCTGAGCGCCGTCTCCCCAAAGCCGATACGCGTCGTCGGCCATGTTTGCGCGGCCCGCTGGCCTTGTATGATCATGAGACCCCCCGTCCACCACGAGCTGCTTATGCCAGATTTCCAATGCGTGTAACACAATATTATATAAATATCTCCCGGCTCACATGCCGCGCATTCGTGAATCGCCGCTCAGCTATGTCCATGGAACGAGAGCCAGACGGCAAAACGAGAGCTGTGACCGCTTCTGGGGCCTATCGGGTGTCAC